TGTTGCCTGGGACAGTTGGAGAAAAGGAAAGGGTGTTACAAAGCCAAATTGAACTTTCACCACGTACAATGTTGTGAAGCCACTCTGTTATTGTTTGACTTGTTCCTCTACATCAATTTAAACTCATCCTTGTTGGCCAAGAGAGAGAGAGAGAGAGAGAGAGAGAGAGAGAGAGAGAGAGACCCTCAGCCCTTCAAAGTGGTACTGTGCTGCCTGTCTCCCTCCCCTGGCCCCCAAGCTATCTTCTTGAGAAAATACAAGCCAGCCTCTTTTCTCCCCCCTTCCGTTCCCGTTTCCATGCGCAACTCCCCTCACACCCCTTTCTTGTCATGTTGGATGCTTTCCTAGGTCTTCTACCCCTGCTACTCTTTCCTTCCTGTACTCTCCCTTTGGCCACTGCGATGCCGTTGTGGCAGAGTGACATGTCAATCTGTTGGTGATATGCGCCATGTTGAGGCAATTCTTAGCACGTCTATAGCCCAGTGCTACCCGACAATGAGATCTAGCTTTTTCCTCTCTGAGCTCATGTGCTGCCTCCCGGCCCGCTGTTGACTTACATGTCCGATGCGGATGGGTTTGTTGGGTTCTGAACAATGGGAATTGAGAATGTACAATCCGATTTTCTTGGGTTGCTTATTACGTTTTGAGTATGTTTATTGTGTTTTCAAAATCTTCTGTTGGTGTTGTCGAGGTTGTCGCTTCTGTCCCCACTGTTTGTTTCTATGCAGAGGGTAAGGTTCTGATCGTTGGGGTCTGTTAATGTAGCATCTGGGCCTCTGCGGGTGCTGTGCAATAATTGTTGTGCTGATTGTGTGACGAAAATCTTCTGCAGGTATTGTCAAGACGTCAGCGTGCCTTTCACTTGTGAAGGGATGCTCAGAGATCCATTCACTATCACTTCGGGGAACTACACTTTCAGATCGGAAAGCAGACATTCTAGTGAAGGTGAGCAAGGGCAATTTTGTACTTGTTTTTTTTTTTTTTTTAACACCCTTTGGGGCCCTTCTATTCTGGGGGGCGTCAGTCCGGTTGCTTATCACCGGCAAGCATGTTTTACACAAAGGTAGTGAAGATAAAATATAAGAAGAGGGGGCCAGCCTAGCCCTTGCGGCACTAGACACCTGGACAAGGGGGCACTTCTACAGAGCCCCTGTCCCCCAACCTTGATCCCTTCCTCGGGGGCTGTTCTACTGGTCGGGAGGCTTACTAGCAGCACCCAGACACACAGTAGAGCAGCCATCAGGGGGGGGCTGGCACCGAAGGGGGGCATTCTGAGCAGCCCCTCAAGCCGCATGGCAGTCCTTCACTATGTCTTAACATGCCTATATTGTCTCCATTGGTATCTACTTCCATGTGTGCTTAGCAATTTTGTACTTGTTTTTTTTCCCCCCAATTCACAGGCCCCTTCTATTCTGGGGGGCAACAGTCCGATTGCTTATCACCGGCAAGCATGTTTGTACATCCAAGAGAAAGGGGGGAGAATACGAGAGAAAGAGTCAGCCTATCCGTTGCGACCCTAGCCGCCTACAAAGGGGGATCTGCTACAGGGCATCCCTACCCCCAATCCCTGAGGAGGGGGGCCGCCCTGCCAGTTGGGAAGCTTACTACAGTCTTCCCCCGAACAAAACGCACGTATGTACTATTCAACTTTCCCTGGAAAAGTCGAATTCTCAGAGTTGGCCCCTGAAATCCAAATAGTACGCACATATGTTCTATTCGAATAGTACACATGAATGTTCTATTAAAACAGACGGGTGTTCTATTCGAATAGAGCACATGGTAGTAGTAGTAGTAGTAGTAGTAGGAATTAGCGTGCGTGGCGAATCTCTTGGCACGGCTGATGGGGATGGCGATGGTGGTTCTTGGTGGCTGATGGCAACGGCGAATCTTGGCAATCGCGACTTCGGGCGGATGCTGCACAGTTTGAGTGGTATGTACCGCGGGTAGCAGGGGCGACAGTTCGAATGCTAAGGTGGCCAGTATGGTGCCTTTTTTTTTTTTTTTTTTTTAATTGTGGACATTGGGCCTCACTCCACTACTCTCGACATGTGCAAAACGAGAGTGAATCTCCCGCTACAACATGGAAAGATACACCGCCATGATTTTTGTCTTTTCTGCATGTTGAGAGTAGTGGAGCGAGGCCCCTTGTCTCGATTTGTGCCTGTCAACCTTGGACAGGGACCATGCTAATTCGCAGCACGGTGAGGACGTATATTCAGGGGAGGACATATACTCAGATTTTTCAGGGGCCCCGTTTTCCAAACTTAGTGCCCTTAATTCATAGCATAAGGCACATGCGTTATATACGAATAGAACGCACACCGTGCGTGCGTTCTATTCGTAAATAACGCACGTGCGTTTTGTTCGGGGGAAGACTGTAGCAGGGCAGCCTCCCGGATGACAGGACACGGGGGAGGAAGGGGTGAGTTCCCCTAAGAGCTCCTCAGGCCGCATAACACCTATGTTTACCTATCACTGTCTCATGCAGCATGCTATCCAACCCCTGTTACCCTTTCTTCTGCCTGAGCCTTATCCGCCCCTTTTGTACCTATTCCGGGCCTTATGTTGTCCTAATGTTCTTTTGTCCCTGGTTTCCAGCCCTACACAATTTTGTACTTGTACAAGCTTTTTTTTTTTTCTTCTTTTTACAAGCTTGTTTTTTTATTCGCACATTTAACAACATTGCAATTTGCAAGGTAGCTTCCCTCTGAATGTCGAAGTCGTATTTTTCAGACCGGCTTGTATTAGCCCTAATGGTTGGCAGCATAACAAATTGCCTGGTGGAGACTACCCAGCCCATGTGCCCGACTGCTTCAACCATGAACTGCTGTTGAATGGACGTGAATTCGGATCCTGATGGTTGGAATCAAACGAGTAAGATATCTCTGAATTAACTAGGGCCAGTCAGTTTGACGATGATACCTCAAGATTGTAGGTCTCTTCAAAAAAGAAAAGAAATGATGGAGACTACGCCGAGTGCATTTGAGGCCTACTGGTCGGGGGTCGGTCGGCACTCCCCATGTATATATATATGACCACTGGGAGCTGTGGGACAACGGCACCATGGTCCAGGCCATGACTGATGTCACTGATTTCTTACAAAATGATGCTGTTTCCTTGCCACAACAAACCATCGGCAATCTCTTTTATGTTGAAGATCATTCCTCTGGCCCCGTACTGCAGCAAGACAATGTACCAGCACTCTGCGACCTTCTCCTTTGCACAGCCACAAACACTGTTATACTCGGCTGTAGCCGCCATCGTCTCTGTCACAATCACTACAATGACATGGTTTCTGCATCCATGTGTGTAGAGGACTGTCCCACCGTTCCTGACTGCAGGCACCCTCTGCGTCAGGACACTATATGTCCATTTTGCTGCCATGGGCGCTATACTGAATGCATGGTCTTTTATGGTGACCGTTCTTCATTCATTTTGGCCTGCAATCGACATTCCATTTGTCGGGGGTGTATGGTGGGCATGCTCAATGCCAGCCGTCGTGGCAATTGTTGCACTGAGAATGCTCAGCTAGGTCTTCGATGTGTTCAGACACCTCATCCTCACAATGTATGTCCTCTCTGTCGTCCAGGACAGACTCATTCTTGAGTCTTTTCTTATCCTCTTTCGCCGATCTTCACTCCACACTCCTCCACACTCCATACTTTCCCTTACTTTTCCTTTATGGTGCTTCATTCGTCTTCTCTCCATCTCTCCTCCCTGTGTTTATCCCCTCCCCCTTCACTCTGCCTCTTTCTCACAGCGTACAAGTGGGCTGTTATGGCACACGGGGATGGGGGCAGCTCGCGCTCAACTTCATCAACGCGGCGAGCCTTGTGCTTGAGGCACGGTGAAGGGGGAGTTAAAAGAAGAGTGAAAAAAATGAATGGTTTCAGTGTTCCCTTCATTTTTTTTTAATTTTTAATTTTTGCCGTTTGTTTTGCAAAGTGCGCTCTTTTAGTTCATAGTTATGTGACAATGAAACTCCGACGAAACAGTTTGTCACAGCCCCTCGTTTGTTGTCCTCTTCTCCCTCTCTGCCTACGGTTTACCGGGCAGCTCTGTTTGACTAAATATCACTACCATGAGATGGTTTCTGCATCCATGTGTGTACAGGATTGTCCCTCTGTTCCTGACTGCAGGCACCCTCCTCATCCGGACACTATATGTCCATTTTGTGGCCACGGACGCTATGCTGAATGCATGCTCTTTTGTGGGGGGCGTTCTTCCTTTANATGCTGAATGCATGCTCTTTTGTGGGGGGCGTTCTTCCTTTATTCTGGCCTGCAATAGACATGCTATTTGTGAGGAATGTATGGTTGGCATGCTTAATGCCAGCCGTCGTGGCAGTTGTTGTTTTGAGAATGCTCAGTTAGGTCTTCCATGCGCTCATCCAACCCATCCTTACAATGCGTGTCCTTTCTGTCGTCAAGGACAGCCTCATTCTTGAGCTTTTTCTTGCCCTTTCCTTTGCCCTCTTTCTCATTCTACACTCCGTGTTTTCCCTCTTCCATTCTTTGTTTGTCCTCTCTCTGTCTCTTTTCCCTGTGTTTAACACCTTCCCCTTCACTCTGCCTCTCTCACAGCGTGCAAGTGGGCTGTTATGGCATACGGGGATGGGGGCAGCTCGCGCTCAACTTCATCAACGTGAGAGGCGCAGTGGAGGTGGAGTTCAAAGAAGAATGAGAAATTTAATGGTTTCAATCTCCCCTTGCTTTTTCTTTCTGTTTTTGTTTTTATTTTTGCAATGTGCCCGTTTTTTGTTTTTATTCTTTGTTTCGTAAAGTGCGCTCTTTTAGTTTGTAGTTATGTGACAATATATATGTCGTATAGTTGGGCATGCTCAATGCCAGCCGTCATGGCAATTGTTGTGCTGAGAATGCTCAGCGAGGTCTTCCATGTGCCCATCCACCTCATCCTTACAATGTGTGTCCTCTCTGTCGTCAAGGACAGACTCATTCTTGAGCCTTTTCTTAGCCTTACTTTCCCTTTTTCGTTCTTTGTTTCTCCTCTTCATTTCTCTTCCTTGTGTTTATCACGTTCCCGTTTACTCTGCCTCTTTCTCACAGCGTACAAGTGGGCTGTCATGGCACATGGGGATGCGGGCAGCTCGCACTCAATTTCATCAACATGGCGAGCCTTGTACGTGAGAGGCACGGTGAAGGGGGAGTTAAAAGAAGAATGAGAAAAAATAATAGTTTCAGTGTGCCCCTCATCTTTGTTTCGTTTTTTATCTTTACCATTTGTTTCGCCAAGTGCGCTCTTTTAGTTCATAGTTATGTGACATTATATATATACAGGGTAACTGGCGTTCGGCCCGAAACTGAACGGCCGAACGAACGGGACCCCTTGGGGATGCGAATGGCCGAACGCAGACCAAAAAAAAAAAAAAAAAAAAAACAATTCAGAAAATCTGAAAACAAAATATGTTATGAAGAATAATAAAATAAACAACATTTGCCTGAGCATTACATCCAAATTCCTTACCAAATTTGAAATAAAAATCAAATACAGAAAATAAAACAATATAATAAAAATAAGAAAAAATAAAAAAAGAACTAGGCTACCAGCCGGGCCGCCCGGGTCCCGGGTGGCCAGCCCGTGCAAGGAC